GGCAGCAGCGGCAGCAGCTACGGCAGCGACGCATCGATCATCACTGTCGCCTGTTGCGCGATCGGACGAACGGCGGACGGACGAGAACGAACGAAAGAACGGACGAGCGGTCGGTCTTGCCGGACGCGTACCCCATCATCCATCATCCAGTCGTCCTACCTGCATCACCGGACGCACCTACGGCGCGACCGTGCGTGCCCGATCATTAATACCGTTCGGTCAAGTACGCGCGACGCAATTTACTCGATCGCTTTACCACTGGCTTCCACTTCTCGGCCATTTCGCTTTACCGCCGGCGCGTCGTCTCGCAAATTAGAATTCGTCGCAGTTGCTGCCACGCGGGGGCTCCTGTCCCCGATGCTCCGAAATCACCGTTGATAGAAACGCGCGTCGCGGATTGCGGAAAATCTGGGACTTGAAAGGAACGACGAGAGCGGGCGGATCTCCGTGGAGATGCTGGGGGAGGTTGGATTGGTAGAGGTTGCTTGCGAAGACGAGGTTGCCGGAGGAAAGCAATCGGGCGCGGTGGATTCGGGGTTTTCGCCGTTGTCGATCGAGCGAGATTGAACGAGGCGCGTCCAAGTGGTGCGAGACTTTCGAATATCCGTGGAAAATTGAAGAAGAGAACGCGACGCCGCGATTGTTTCCGACACCGTTCCCTCGAGATCGAACGTCTTAATCGGTAGCTCTAGCCGCGGCAAAGGCTGGCCACTTTTTATGCGCCGGTGGAATCGCGAGAGCTTCGCCGAAGGAACGTGGCTATGCCCGTGCCCATGCTCATGCCCGGCGATGGGAGGAAGCGATTCGACAGGCTGATGGAGTGAGTGTTGACTTAGGATAACAGTCGGCTCATCGGTCAATCAGTCAGGTAGACTACGGTAGGTCGGTGCTCCGTCTTCGGTTCGGCCCTGTCGTCTCGTTCGGACGGTTAAGTGACTCACGAGTCCGACCACCCGACGTGTTCTCCGTCCAGGAACGTCCGGGAAGACAAAGCGATCGCGGACGGCGCGAGGGGCAGGCTTCGGCCGAATCGTAAACATTCGAATCGATCGATAGATCCGGACGCGGACCGTGTCGCGAATACCTTACCTCCGGCGCCTGTAGTCGGCGCGAGAAGGGAAAACGGGTGGAAATGGGCCGCGAACCGGTAACCGGCGATCGCTCGAGCTCCGACGCCGGGCTCTCGAGCCGGCTGCTTCGCGAGAGGAAGGAGCGGCCGTAAGAGGGGGAGAGAAAACGAGCGCGAGACGAAAAGAAGGACGGAGGAAGGAGAATGGATTCACCCGTCACTCACTCTCTGGCAGACCGCGAGAGAATCACAATGCGAAGCCTCCCTTTGCTCGCTCTTCGTCTCTGCTCCTCTCTCTTCGTCCTTCCGTCCGTCCGTCCGTCCGCCCCCTCCCGCTCGGCCGTTCGTCCGACTGTCTGCCTGTCCATCCGATCGTCTCTTCGTCTGCCTCCTGTCACTCTCCTTGCCAGCCTCCCGACGGTTCTCTCGCATCAGGAATTCATCTCCTCTCCTGTCCTGCCCTGCCCTGCCTTCTCCTCCTCCTCCTCCTACGTTGCTCCTTTTGTTCCCTCACCCTCGCCCGCCCTCTCCTTCCCGACAACCTTCCTTTCCTCCCGCTTCCCCTACCGTCATTACGTGCCGTTTTATTTCCGGTAGCCAGCCATCGATCGACGATCGTCTCTGCTCCGAATCCTCCTAGGCTAGACTACGCGCTTTAGACCAACGTTGGATCAACGTCTGCAGACGTTAAGGAGTCGAGTCGAGCGGGAGCGATTTAGTTTATCTCCATTTACATTGCGAACGATTACGCAAACTTGCGCCAACTCGTTGTAAATTTTCTCAACGCAGCAGACGCTTGAACAGCCCAACGGCCTAATTACCGGCAAACCTAGAGCCGATTTGATGTGCCGCCGCCGCCGCCGCCGCGCCGGTGCATAAATTCAGACGAGGACAGGATTTACGAGCCGATCGTGACCGCGAGTACGCGCAGACAGCCGCGTGTACGCCGTGCGGAAATCGGCTGGTTCGCCGATAAAAGTATAACGCTCCCTCGATGTCGCGGTTAAAATAATAACGAACCAAGTACGTCCTGCTCGAAGGTCTATCGAGAAACAGAAAAGGATAGAACATGTATACAAGTCTCGGGGAAAAGAGAGTACGAGGGTGATTTGTTGTTTGAGGAAAAATAAACTTGGGATACGATAAAACGATAATTAATCTAATTCTCTTTTCCATTCGAATGAGTACGCATCTTACATATTACGTAATTTGATCGTAGCGTAGGTAAAACTAAAAGATGCACTTTGGTGCAATAGCGTCGCTAAGCGTAGTCTCGTTGTACACCTTCGACTAACGTAAATAAAACGAACGAACGTCGTGGAGGGGTGAATAAACTCGACCACGCACCGAAGAAGCAGGAACCGCTACGATATTATTCACGCATAGACATATAACACATACGTACTCGCAGGCACACACTGGACGTTTCATTTTTCGCACTTTCCGACGTCTCGTGTTCGCCATGACGAAGAAAATTACAAAGGTTCGGAAGCACTGACCACGATCTACGAGACCACGATCGCACGGTACGAGGCACTCGTCCGGCAGCTTCGTAAACACTAACCGAGGACGCGTCGTCCTACCCGATTTTTCTGCTCGATGTACACACGCAGCTAGCTTGGGAAAAAAAGGTCCGGGGTGAGTCACCGTAACATCGCGCGAAACTCGAGATATTTTTTTTGCCAGCCGAGAATTGGTGTGTTAGGTAGTAGGCAAATTTTCATTGCTCCGCAGAAGAAATCTCGCGCTTATTCCGAAACAAACTGCAGAATAGAGGAACAGACGGGCGAATCTGAAATGGATACGGTAATGTAATTACAGTTCGTAAACGTATTTCGAAGGTAAGAATGTTGTTCGAGGGAGTGCTGTAATTCTGGTTACCGCGGGGGAGGGTCTAGAAGGGATACGTCGTCCCGTGCCGCTAAGGAGGCGCACCGTTTGCTCCGGAGCCGAGCAGAGCGGATATCGCGCGGTGGCATCTCCGACCGCTTTTAACCTCGGTAGGCCACACGCTCCTTATTCCCTCCGACTACGCAACCCCGCGTGCGCTAGCTCTCGCTCGTTAACGCGACCGCGCGGCCTGCCAATGGGCGGATACGCGATCTTGGCTCGCGCGAGCATTTGCATTCTATTCCCTTTAGCTAGAGTGGCCTGCTGCTGCTGGCGGCGACATCCTGGACAGGACTCGGCCTCGAGGCGCGAGGCGCGAACACGGGAAAAGAGAAGCGGGCGGAGCTCCGGTGGTCCGGCCTGGTTGCCTCGCGTATCCCTTCTCGGTAGCCCGCCGGTAGCCCTCGCGTTGTCGTCTTCCTCGTTCCCGTCGTCGATGCGGGGTCGTCTTCGCGGTCGTTGGTCGTTCTCCTTTCTTCGAGCACCTCCCGTTCCCGAGGACCGGACCGGACCGGACCCCGGAGCAGAAGCCTCTCTTCCATCGAATCGTTCACGGTCGCGCAGAGGGCTACGGAGGGCCGCTCCGGCCGAGAGAGACAATGGACAATGGGGACATAAATCTGCGTAATTAGTTGCCGATGCCTCCTCGGATCGATGCGCGATCTCCTTTCCCTCCTTCTTCCGTGGCCCATCGGCGAACAAACGATCGTTTGGTTGGCCAGTCGGCAAAGTAGGACGGTGCTCTTCTGCTCTTCGTCCTCCTTGTCCCCACCCTCTTCCAAGGGAGGTGTGCTGCTGCCTTCTTTCCGCCTCTTCTTCCTTTCCTTCCTTTCCTCCGAGGATCGCTCGTCTCGCGCCATCCCGAGCAAGATGGCGATCCCTCGGCCGACCACCCCCGTTCGAGAGCGATATGGAGAACGTCGCAACCAGTCGATTAAGAAGTCGCTCCCCTACCTCCGATGCACAATGGGCCACGATCACGTTGCTCGATGCGCCGCGTACCATCGTCGCACGCGACGTCGACGTCCCTCGAAAGGACGATAAATGAACCGATAACAGCATTGTCTTACACTCCGAACCGCCGCTTTACGTCGTTTCGCGACGCTAGACTTTGTCTTTTCTCCCCTCGTTCCGAGGCCGCGGTATCGCGCCTCCCACTCAAACGATCGTACGATTTTCCGTTGCAGGGGAGGACGGAGTCGAAGGCTCAGGGCCTGGCGCGGACCTCCAGGGGGAGGAGGGCGATTGCGCGGAGGATGACGGGCCAATTAGTCCTAGCGAGAGGGGTTGCACGGCTGCAGCCAAAGAGGAAGAAGATGGGGACGCGACCGACGAGGAGGACGAGGAGGACGCATCGCCGGCCACGCCGCTACCTTCCGCAACCGCGAGACTGAATCCAACGATTTCGAGGGACACTGGACCGCCGGACAGGTAAAGATCTCGCGGAGAGCGAACCAAAGCGAACGAAAGCGAACGAAAGCGAACGAAACCAAGTTGGTACGAGGCTGTGTAAATTTCGACGTGCACGGTTCGCTTCGAACTCATTAGCCGCCGCTTTACCCGTTGCCTCGTCATAAACCGCCTAAATCAACGAGAGCGCCGCTGCCGTTCGCTTTGAACTCGCCGACATTCGCCGCCCCTCGTGTACACACACGGGTATTCTCGTTGTTTGAGCGCGACGAATCGTCACGGATTCGTGCCGTGCACGAGCGAGAGCTCGTAAACGCCGCGCCGTTCGCTGTTTCTCTCCGAAAGGATGCAAGCAGAACCGAAGGGGGAGAGAGAGAGGAGAGGGTGGAAGGAGGGATAAATAAGCCGGTGCCAGGCCGATATCGGTGACTGTCGTGCGACGTTATACAGCTAATAGAGATAGGCACGTGTTACGCGTCGGGCTGCATCGACGACGATCCCACCAACGCTGACGATGACGCCGCCGCTCCACCACCGCGCTCCGGTACCGCTTTGCCGCATCGCCGGTTATACGGCGCTCGGGGACGGGGGCAGTGGCGGCGGTCTCCGCGGTGGTGGATGCGTGTGCCGGCGGCGGCGGGTTGCGGCAGTGGCGCCCCCGCCACCCGTCGAAAACTTCCCCTGCATGCGTGCCGCCACTCCCCTTTCCTCTCTCGCTCGCGGCACGCATTCAGTCAGCGGCAGTCAGCAGTTACGAGCAAGCCGTCGACAAGCCTGCAACCGCTCTCGCCCGCTCACTCTCTCTCTCTCGCTCTCTCTCTCTCTCTCCCCCCCCCTCCCCCTCCCCCTCTTCGGTTACCTCGTGACTAAGAGTATTCGTGCCGGACAACGATCGCCTCTACCCCGCGCGACTGGTGAAACGTTCGACAGGTATCGTACTCCCGCGGTTTTTCGCGCCGCGAGCAACGCCTGCGTCAGCCTCCGACTAACCGATCGCGCGTAACCTTTCCAATTTTCGCTTCATGCTTTCAGAGAGCCAATGAGTCCACGTTGTCCCTCGAGAGACTCTCGGGAATCGTCCGGGCCGGCGACCGGAAGTCCGCCGCCGCCACCGACGAGGAGCACCGCGAGCCCGGTCAGTCCGAGCGGGATCGTGCCTCTACCGCTCGGCAGCCATCCGCTCTTACCATCCCATTCCGCGGCAATGATGGCCGCCTATCTCCAACAGACCCACCAGAGACTGCTTCTCGGCCACTCGCCGCTCTCCCGCGGCTCCGTGTCGCCGTTGGTCTCGTCCTCGTGCTCGCCACCGGCTGCCACTCCGGGGCTGCTGGTCTCGCCGAGCAGCGTCGGCGAGGTGTCACCCTCGGCCACCCCTTTACCCGCCGTCCTCGACTTCAGCACGAGGAAAGCCTCCTCGACGGAGGACGACGAGGACGAGCAGATACTGAACCTGAGCAAGCCACCGACGCCCTCCTCCTCCACCGAGACGAACAACGGCCCGTTGGATCTGTCTGTGTCGAGCAGAAAACGGCCAGGTCCGGAGGATTCGCCGCCGCC